TACTGTAGAAGTTTTGGTCAGTTTCCTTTTCTTTTTTGTATACGTTTGCATATATTCCACCTAAGCGATGAATCAATACAGTTGTATATATATCGGTAAATGCATATATTACACTCAGAACACTGTATGTGACATGCACAAGTTTTTATATTTTCATGTATAGTTCTGGACTATGTGTTGATGAAACAGACCACCCATTCTCATTCTCTATTCTTATAAAGACAGTGTTTCACTTGTTTTATGTCTGATTCTTAAATCCCACATCTTACTTGTCAATTTATCTTTATTTGCTGTAATTAAGGGATCAGTCATTTTATCTCTTACGAATCTCACAATACCATATGAGATATCACCTTATCTAAGCTCTTCAACATTTTGTCCATGAACATAAACATATTTTAATGTTCAGTGCATTCATTCGAGGTGCATGTTTGTGTTAATACCACTGTGAAGTCTGTGACAGTATGCCCAGCTGGATGTAATTTGTAAATAATATGTTTCAAAGTTCAATAGTATCAATTTGCAAATTCAATAGTGTCAGGATTAAGTAATTTTATTGCTGCTTCTGTCAGTGTATGAAAAGTATAAATGTCTTGTTCTTCTAAGAGAGATCTAATACTTTTATATGTTTTTGCCTGTTTTTTTTAGCACCTTAGATTTTTTTTTTTCCCCAGGCTCTATCAATATGCCAAAAATAAAAAAGATGTTTCTATGATAAACCCATTTCAGACTTCCAAGCAGTAAAAAAGATTAAGCCATATCAGACATAAATATTTGTGGTTGTATTTGCCCAACTTTTTGTTTAATGCACGGGAAAAAAAAAAAAAAAAATAGCACTGGTTGATAACATCAATTAGAAATTAAAAAAGCACATAGGAATCCTTGGCACAAATCATCTATTGTAAGTAAAGTTATGACATCAAATCCATATCCATTCACAACCATGTGTACCATTAATACATTTTCAGTATCTTCCCTTGTGTTTCTGTCATAATTATCAAAACAAAATCGTTTTTCTTTTAGAAATGAATATTGTGTACATGTTGATCCCTGGGTTTCATAAAATGAAATAAAATGCATAGATTTTCAGAACTTTGCACTTCACATACCCACATATTTACCAAGGATTTTTAAGTGACACAAACCTTTACTTTCTGATATAAAATTTCCTGAACAGTGACATCTGAAATTATAAATATTTTACACCATTATTACTTGCATTTTCTGCCTTCCATGCCAACAAATCATTAAATGAATTAAATTCTAGCTCAGTATGATTCATATCAACACCATGAACATTCATGAAATGAAATATTATTTCTCGCTTTTCAAAATTAGCATAACATACAGGACACACATAATTAGCTGTGTGGTTTACCTTAGAAGTATGAATTTTATTGTGATGACACTTCAAATTTTTTAGGTCAAAAGAAATCAATTAAGTATTATTAGAATGTAATTTACTTGCACTGCATTTTAAATTGTATTTATTTTTTTAGAGTGTTTAAGCAATCAAGATATACAAAATTACTCAGCCACACTAAAATCATTTGAACAATCATTCATACTATTAGAACTTCCTTCCATGACACACAACTTTGATTTTTCAAAGACTCAATTAATGTAGTATTATTATAATGAAAATTATATACATGGGGTTTCAAATTGTATTATATCTGAATGTTTTTAAACAATCAGAGCAAACAAAATCACTCTCAGCCAAACTAAAATCATTTGTACAGTCAACTATTTCACACACAACAGAACTGAAATTATTGCACACGATTACTCTTTCCTGATTTTGATTCGACTCAGAATCAAAAATTCCTTCTGAGGAAATAGAAGTATTTGTCCCTGAAAAGGGCCGTTTTTCTTGACTTTGTGCTGAAGACATAATAATCAAAACAAATATAAAAGAGAACTGTATCAGCAATCACACGCTACCACAGCAGTGCAAAGAGCAGACTAAATAACAGTAAGCGCGCCTTCAGGAAAATGACGACATGCGCAATAATCTGCGCGGATGTTCAGGGAAGAACCGTGAGGCCCGAGAGGAAAGTAGCATCTGAGGGGCTAGACGCTTGTGTGGATGTCCTCCTGACGGATATCGTGCCAAACTCTGTCCAACTGGTGCGTTAGATTGTCAACATCTTGAGCTAGTTGGAGGGCCCTGCCCATAATGCTCCAAACGTGCTCAATAGGAGAGCGATCCGGCGACATTGTTGGCCAAGGTAATGTTTGGCAAGCACTAAGGCAAGCAGCAGAAACATGTGCAGCGTAGGTGCGGGCATTATCTTGCTGAAATTTAAGCCCAGGGTGGCGTGACATGAAAGTCAACACAATGGGCCTTAGAACTTCATCGACGTACCGCTGTGCTGTAAGGTTGTGACAGATGACAACCAAAGGGCTTCTACTATGAAATAAAATGGCACCCCAGACCATCACTCCTGGTTTTCGGCCTGTCTGCCGGAAGACAGTCAGGTTGGTATCACACCACTGTCCGGGGCGTCTTCAGATTCGCCTTCGCTGGTCATCGGGGCTCAGTTCAAACTCATCGCTGAAGACTATTCTACTCTAGTCAGTGACATTCCAGTGCAAATGAACCCGACACCACTAAAAACGGGCTTGACATTGTACAGAGGTCAATGGTAGTTGGCACCCCTCTTTCTGTGAGCCGTCTATGAATGGTCATTGCGGTCACTGAAGCACTATTGCACATAAAATCGATGATAATGATGCATCTGGGGCTGTGAGTGCCGCTCTAACGATTGCTTGGTCTTCACGTTCTGTCGTTTCTCTAGGCCTATCGCTTCCATCTTGATGCTGTGTGCAGCCATGGTTCACCTATTCCTGCCAATAGCGTCTAATAGTGATATCGCTCCTGCTCAAATGTCAAGCTATTCGCCGATAAGACCAACCAACTTCATTGAACCCCAACTACACGACCTCTCTCAAATTCTGACTCTGCGCATATCGTTCGCGCACCTGTATGCGAGGCATAGGCATAGGCATAGTTATTGTCTACCAGAGTACACAGAATGAAATTCATGAAGAATTTATGACCTGGAATTGTAATTTCTCCACTTAAATATCCTGTCAGTTGCACACATCAGATGCGCTTTAGTGACATCCGTTCAATCATTGGCAGCCAAAATGTAAAATTCTGCATTTTCCGTCGAAACCTGTATGCATATCAATTTGTCTCCAATTTGCTTTATATCTTCTCGGTGCGTCCTTTTCTTTTCTTTTCTTTTTTCTTTTTTTTTGTCTAAGAGTGTATTTTCATTTGTTTATTAGATGACTCAAATATAAACAGAATAAAATAAAATTTAAAATGAGTCATATATAAAAAGAAAGTATACTGCATTCATTTAAAAGTTACATGGGGGAAAAAAGCAATGGCAAAAAAATACCATGCATAATAAATGCAATTTTATGGCCTGAGCACAGGCTTCTCTTTCATCATTTGCCCCTCTGCACTTGAAGAAGGTTCTAAATTAAAATTTTTGAAACTAGTCCTAAAAATTTATGAATATTGCACTGAGTCTTGTTGCCTTAGAAATTCCAATAATCATTGTTCGGTGTATTAAACTCAGATTTATAAAGAAGTTAGAATCGTGCTCTTTGACAGTCTCTAAAGAAGTGAACTTCAGGCTATTCAGAGAATTTTGAAATGACCTAAAGCCAGCCATGAAAATTCAAGACAGCAAGGTATATGAATATTGGAGGGGACCGACAGAAAACATCTCCACCATACTCAATTAGTTTTCGTCTGATACACATTGGAATGTGGACCAAACATTGCCATGATGAAGCCCACCATTTCGAAGATTGGTCAGTTCTGGACACCCTTCATCACCAGCATCACCTTCAAAGCTGAAATTTTCATGATTGAACTTTCAAACTACCTTCAAATTGTGTTTTGTTTCTGGTTTTAAAACTGCTATTTATCTCCCGAATTTATTGTTGTTTGATAGCAACAATTCACAGTATGCAATTCCTTTGTAGTTCCACTGTAAGCAAAGCATTACTGTTTTGCGATGCAGGCACCTCCCTCTCGATGTTTTTTAAAGATGTTCATTTGATTTACCACCCTATGATCTATGCATTGTATTCCACTTTTCATCTCCAATAATGAGCTGTTTAAAAAAAAAAAAAAAAAGACTTTTTTAATTTCTTTTCAGCAAAGAATCACATGCCAAAGCATGCACTCGAGCATGCATAATATTCTGTTCTGTTAAAGTATGGAATACATATAAATCGCAGCGGCTTACATATCCGAACTTCTTCAAAGAATCACGCATTGTACTTTTTTAAATATTTAGTCTGACTGATAGTTCCTGAATTATGCTACAAGTACTTTCAGTGACAGCTTTGCTTAATAGGTCTTTGTTTACAGAGAATGATTGTCAAGAGCATGCATCACCTTCAAAGCTGAAATGTTCATGCTTGAACTTTTCAAACCACCTTCAAATTGTGTTATAAACAGCACCTTATTCTATATGGAGCACAAATTTTATGAGCAGTCTGACTTGCATTTTTTTTTTTTCTGATTTTAAAATAAAAAAATCATAATATGATGAAAATTAAGTTTTGGGTTCTCCATTTAGCACTGCAATGAAACAAAAATTATGCCACGACACATACTAGAATTATACAAATGAACGGGGGGGGGGGAAGTATTTAAACATCTTCTCTGATCAAAGTCATTCCATATCAGCAGTAACAAAATGAGGGAAGAAAAAAAAAAAAAAAAAAAAAAAAACCTTCAGTTTGAAAAACCACAGAACTTTTGGGATGATCCAATACTGAATATATGACATGTTTAACACCTTGTTAATTAACTTTTAATATAAATTCAATCAGATGCTAAATAAAATGCATTAAAATATTAGCAATAAGTACAAAACTAAAATCATTGCAGTTTTGGGGAAAACAGAATGTTTAATATTAGTGAAAATTTTAAGAAAAATCAACTATTTAAGATAATAAAAACCTACCTGTGTATCAAAAACATTAGCCAGTATGACACCAAACTGATGATAAAGAGCACCACTGTCATTACGGCAGTCATGTGCAACCTGAAATACAATAAATTAGAGATTTATCTATATTATCAAAAAAACTTATCATAAAAATCATAGCCAGCAACCTAACTTAAGTTCTCAGGCATTATTCCAACCACATTGGAGCAATTTGGTGATTTTTTTAAGAAAAAGAATGGTCATTTCAAAGCAGAGAAAGTTATTTATTTCATATCATACATACTGTCGGGTACATATTGTTACGTTATTTTCTTCTGATACCAGATGTTACGTAATTTTCTTTTCCTTTACGTACGTACGTTCGTTATGGGGTTCATGCGGATTTGAAGTGAATAACAACAACAGCACTTGATGAAATATTGAAATACACTTTATTTAGCCAATACTAATCAGGACAGCACCAAAATCACGTTACAGTTGTTGAAGAACTACTATAAACACGCTGACACAATTAGCGACACAGCCTTCAGGTTATCAGGCTATAACAGTGGAGACAGCTTCGGTCATTCTCGGAACTCCACGTACTCTCGAGACTCTCCACGCTACAACTCGTGATGCACTCGACGACACACAGAGCACGGCTCCCGACTCTTCGGTTCAGTCGTTCCCGGAGATCAACATGCTCTCTCGACGATGCACTAACCGCAATACACTAAAGACCCTTCGATGCACTTGACAACCCACTCGGCGCTTTTAAGACACTCGCTGAATGATTGACTATCAGCTCGCGAGACGACGCACACATACTGACTGCGGACCAGCAGGGTTTATATAGCTTTTGGAATTCGTTCCAGAAGGTTCTCCATCCGTCCATAGTATATTGCCAAATTGTCGCCAAATGGGCGATTTCTCGCCAAATGTAACAATGTGGCAACCCTAAACTTTCTTTGCAGGGAAGCCATCTTTCCGTGCCTGTACATTTTGTAACAATATTTTAACTGTAGTTCGATATTTATCAGGAAAAACAATTTATAAAACTACTTACAAATGGTATCTCCTGCATGCAATTATTCCAATCCACTACAGTCTTACTGGCAATTTCCAATTTTTCAAAGCAAAATTTAACACTCATTAAAATCTGACTGCTGTAGTAAATGGCAGATGACTATTCTTGAACCAATTACCGCTTTGAATGCCAAAGTGTTCGTTACACCTTTTTCACGTTGCATTTCCAGAAAGGTTGTTTCCTAAATACATCATCATCAAACGAGAATCTGAACATTCATATCTTTGTGACAAAATATTACCTTCCTCCTAAAATTTCACAGAACTTTCTTTGTTTGCAAGCAAATTCCACAAGTGCACAAGTGCATATTTCAAAATTCTGCTGAAGACCACAAATATTGCAATTTGCATTTAGAGCTTCTAATACAACCAAAACAGCATATATGAAAATGGTGATGTTGCTCATTCAAACATACAGTTATCTATATGATTACCCAAAGAATTGTTATATGCATGGTTATACTATTTGGCAACTTATAACCGAGGTAGTTGCGATAAGACCAAATTACCCTAATTTGTTTCAAAAATATAACTATAACATGTTCTCCATCAATTAACAAAAGGAATAAATGTTGAATGCTGTTAACTGAATTTCTTGGCATATCAAAATAGCGATCGAGAAAGATTAATAAATCATCTATCTGCTATGTGGGTTATCTACTTTTGTCTCTATATCAAGAGAAAGACCAGCAATGTGTTGTAAAACAACGTTATTGCAAGTTTTATAAGATTTGTATTGATATATGTAGCTTATAAATACAAAATTTAATATGCATGTACAGCATAATCAGTAATGTAAGAAAGCACTGAGATAAGTTTTGAATGCAGAAAACTAGTCCTAAGTAAAGCTTCTTTAATGCTGTTATACATACACAGGGCACAAAAGCCAGTAAAACAGGTATACCTGTAATGCCTGTTGACTCATCCCTCAGTAATATAAATTCATTGCAAAGTAAGTGAATTAATTGGTTATGTCTCTATATCAGTAGAGACCAGCAATGCATTGTGAAACAGTGTTATTGTATAATTATAATGAATCAATTTTTTTAGTAGACTCCTCATTGAATATGCATGGCATGACATGTTTCACACGAGTTTTAATAAGTGTCTCTCTAATCATATGAGCTTTACCAAATATGCAATGTAATAATGCAACAGAACCTCTCCGTTGTCATTTAATTTTCAGTTTTAGCAATTTTATCATTTGAAGTAAACATGGTTCAAGGGAGTTAAGATGTCTTTTAAAAAAATTATCTTTGCAATCAGGGAGTTTTGGATCAAACTGCCAATGAATTTTAGGTGGAGTCAAAGGAAAACTAGAATTTTACACTGCCCTCCAAAAGTTAAGGAACGGCATGTTTTTCACTCTCATCATATTTTCATTCTGGCACACTCTTCTGACATCTGCTTTTTAAAAGGAACAGTACTTTCTTCCCCAACTGCAAATGTATCTAAAAATGTACTTACTCTTTTTTCTTTAAAAATGCCCATTTTTAACCAAGAATCCCCATTTTACAACTAAAATGGAGACTAAGAAACAAATTATATATAAAAAAAGTACAATAAAAACAGCCTATTTTAAATTTTAAGTAATTTTATATAAAATTAACTTAAAACTGGTTAGAAAAGAGATGGGAAAAAGTACACACATAGTACAAAACTAAAATCATTGCAGTTTTGGGGAAAACAGAATGTTTAATATTAGTGAAAATTTTAAGAAAAATCAACTATTTAAGATAATAAAAACCTACCTGTGTATCAAAAACATTAGCCAGTATGACACCAAACTGATGATAAGTTAAATGAAAGAGTACAGTAGCAAAATTATTGGAAGTGGATTGAAAAAATTATTGGACATTTAAATTCTGGTGGCTTTTTTATGACAGTAGCCTACATAATCCCAAATACCAATAATGAAATATATTAATATGCTAATTTGTTAAGAATTACATTTACTAATAAAAATAATATTTTGTTAATGTAAATTTAAGAATATACATAAATACAGTACAAAGTCCAAAATCCGGACTTGTCAGGACTTCGGCAACTCTAGATTATAGATCATCAATTTAAATCTGGTAAGATGGCATGCAGAAATTACACAATTAAAAATATGAAACCATAATTTATGAAATAAAGAGCAATTATGATCTAAAGGGTATCAAAATTTACAAAAAAAAAGCTTAATATTTATTAAACATTTCTTTCAATGTAAGTTGTTTAAGTTGCTTCATTTTTTGTGCTAAATGCACAAGCATAAACATTAAACGTTCATGCATAACATTACATGCGCATGCGTAAACGCATTACACACATGCATAAACGCATTACGTGCATGTGTAAAGCATACCAGAAAAAAGTTTGTGGCTTTGAGGTCCGGATTATAGATCATTCTGGATAATGCCCGTCCAGATTACAGACTTTGTACTGTATATATATATACAAATGAACACTGCACACACACACTTGTACTGTATATATATATACAAAGACACACACACACACACACACACACACACACAAAAAAAAAAAAAAAAAAAAAAAAAAAAAAGAGGGGGAAATGGCACAGTTCTATACTCCCGTTCTGCTGGGCCAATTGACGAAATTCAATTTGCATTTTTCATGTCTCGAAAGCAAGTCTTAGGATATGTATTAGATTTATATATAGCATTGTTCTAATATCAGCATTTTAACACAAAATCTGGCTTTATCTGAAATGACATGACATTTTCCCCCCCATATTTCAATTCTACGATTCAAATTATGCCAAACTGCCAAGTTTTGTAAAAATTGCACAAGTAGTTTTTAAAAAATTTAGTTCTCAAAATTTTAGCGGTACTTACGTATTAACGCAACCAGGCCAAAATTCGCATAAATTGACAAATTTGGCGACCCTACTTACGGCAACCCTACGTGTTATATGTAGTTTTGTAAAAAGAGCATGTGGAGATTCACAAAATTTTCCTGCATTTTCGTGCAAATTTTTGTAATTTATGAGAAAATAGCAGTGTACATGGATAAAGTGAAGAGTGTGCACAATGCCATTTTTGTGCAATTCTGAAATGTTTTTTTAAGTAAAAATAAGTCGACGTGTACATGGTTATGGCGAATACGGTTTTCAATCAGTGCTAAAAGCAATAGCCAAAAGATTTCTGCCGAAAAAATAATTCTGCAACTTATTCAAATTCGAAAACTGGAAGGGTTTAATTGCTATTTTATATTTTAAAAGAAATAATATAAAAAAACTGTATTAAATATTATCTGTAATTAATAAAGTTACATTTTCTTTCTATTCATACTTTTTTACTCAAACTTACAAATAGCGCCAACCTGGTTGCGATAATACGTAAGTACCATTTTAGCTCCTCAATGTTAATTGAATTTGATATATATTTATTAAAATCTCTTTTTTATCAAACCTTTTTGATTCTTCCTTTCATATTTCGAAATTTAGGTTTATTTTAAATAAAATTCACCTATTATTTATGATTTATTTTTAACATTTGTATTTTTTAAGTAAGTTTTTATAATTTTTTTTTAAAAAATTTAAATTATATCTTATAAAGTTTTGCCATCATCTTAAAGTAGATGTACTTCTAAGCATACCTGCAAAAAAAATTAAGAGTTTTTATTCAAAATGTCCTAAAATATACATGAATTTACATTTTGGTGCATTTTAAAATTTGGCGTATTTATTACAAGTGATAATAACGAAAATGTGGTTTACACACTTTGTTAAAATTATTTGAAAGTATGAACAATGACTTTTTTCCACTTGTGGAGAATGAAAAAAAGGTAAAGGAAAATAGGAAATAGGATTTTTTTTTTTTATTAAACTTACTTGATTCCTTCTTCCAGAATTCGAAATTTAGGCTTAATCCAAATATAATTTGCACATTTTTTTATGATTTCTTTTTTAAATTTGTATTTTTAAATATTTTTTATAAATTTTTCAAAAAAACATTTTGTATTTATAACCTATAAATTTTTAACATCATCTTAAAGTAGATGTATTTCTAGGCACACCTGCA